TTCTCCATTACAAATCAGTGAGCATAGACATTTATTAAAGTATGTAAAACATTGGCTACTCTGGAGGATGGGCAAGGGTGGATACCGTGGAGGAGGTGCCTGGGTAACAGCGGTGGCACCGCTGGAAATGGAGAGGCCTGGGCAGATGGGTGAGGCATTTAGGAGATGGGGCTGGTGATAGCTGTGTGAGGTAAAGAGGAGGAAATCGGAGTTGACAGCTCTTTGTTGTATGTATTGAAATGTTTTTCCCAGTTTGTCTCTCTTTTGGGGGGGAGCAGGGAGGAGGGAGTCTTTGGCATCTCTTTGGTATGTGGAAGTTCTTGAATAGTAAAATTTGTCCATCTGTTCTTTAATGGCTTCTGGGTTTCATATTTCAGGATTTCTCCACCTTGAAATTATAAAAATGGCCCTCCCCCATTTTCTCCTAGTATTTATGGTTTTGGTTTTTCATATTTATATCTTTGGCCTCTGGACTTAAGTGCAGAGAAATGATCTAGGGACTCATCTTATGTTTCAGAAGGGTATGCTGAAGAGGATGGTGCCTTCTGTGGGACTGTTGCAAGGAGTTAGGCCATTTGCAGAATTATGGGCAAAACAGGTTTAGATTAGGGAGGTACTTTGTTAGCACTTCTTAAGTTTGTAACTGGGGGCCGAGGGTGCAAGAAGAGCACCTGGCTCTGCGGTTCCAGAATGGACTAGGTTTGACCACTCGCCACTGACAAAATCTAAAGACAGAGAAATGAGTGGTGGCGAAACAAGAAAGGGGCTTTTTTGAGTGAGGCCAACCCTGGGAAGACAGCCGAATAACTCTCAAGGACGGTCCCCAGAGTGCTGAAAATACTTCTAGGTTCATATAAGGAAAATGTGGGTCAAAGATTGATGGGTACCTGCAGGTGGGCAGTAAAGGTCAGGTCGATCATTGTCTTGGGGTCAATCACAAGGGCTCTTGCTGGCCTTAGGGCAGTCCCTGTTACTCCTTTGCCCTCTGGGTCTTTTGCCTGAGATACGAGATCAGCTGGAAAGAAGAACTTCAATCAATTAGAAAGTACACACGGAGGTCAGAATGGGGGTAGTTGGCATCCTCTTTCAGGTTTGACAGATGAGTGTTATATTACAGTGTTTTTTCCAACACCACCAAGTCATCAACTCAATTTTAACACTATCTACCTGGAGTTAGCATCAGATCTGACAGGTTAAGGACTTTGCCCTACAAGACTGCACCCCCTGCCCTGCACCTCCCCCCCAATTTTAGGCACCAGTCACAAGTCCAGGTTATCACCTGTGTCTCTGACCAACCAGCTATAGATCAGAGGTACCAGCAACCTCCTCCTTGGATTTGATTAATTGCTAAAGTGGCCCACAGCCCTCAGAGAAACATTTCACTTACTAGATTATCGGTTTATCATAAAAGGGTATAAAAGAACATAACTTAGAAACAACCAGATGGAAGAGATGCATAGGGTGAGGTATGTAGGAAGGGTGACCACTCTCTGCACATCCCTCTGAGCCCCATCCTTTTGGGGTTTTATGGAGGCTGTATTACATAGGTATACTTCATTAAATCATTGGCCATTGGTGATTTAACTCAATCTCTAGTCCCTCTCCCCTCTCTGGAGGTAGGGTGGGGAGGGGTGGGGCTGTAATGTCCAACCCTCTGATCCAACTGTCGGTTCTCCTGGCAATCCAGCCCTGATCCTTAGGTGACCTGGGGGGTTTTCCAAAGGTCGCCTCATTAACATAACAAAAGACCCCTTGATCTCTGATCCCTTAGGAGGTTAGAACGATTTTCTTTCTTCTTTTACGAGATAACCGTAGCCTAAGGGGTGGAGAATGAATCAGGAAAAGTAGCAGAGAAATGGGTTTTAGGAGCCCAGACTTTGTCTTCAATCTTTCTCTTGCCCTTTACTGAATTGTTTTGTTACTTTATGTTTCTCCCCTTCTGATCCTGAGCATCTGAGTTCTGCTGGAAAGAACATTTAGTCACGCTGTCTGATTTTTAAATTCACTTTATCTTTATTGTTTTTTCAAATTACAAAGGGAATAGGCCCTCAGTGGAAAAACAATTTAAATAGTCTAGCAGTATATAAAGTAAAAAAGAGATGCCCTCTTCTGATAGCTCCCTTTATTTCTTTTTCCAGGAAAAAACCACCATTGTGCATCCTTCAAAAGACTTTATTTTTTATTTATAAACACCACTCCCTTGGTAAAGGGAGATCATGACCCAAGCCTGCTTATGCAGGATGCTATGAGGCTGACTAGCACCATGTAACCCCAAGGAGAATAATTCTGTTGTTGGGTTGTGTTAAAATATACAAAAATGTTTTTAGTTGAACAAATTGTTTTTTTTAAATTGTTCATTTTTGTCTAAATTTTTGTATACTGGCATAGAGTTCTTGATAATACTTTTTTTTTTCCTTCTTAGGGATTTTCTATCTTATTAAGGAGTTGGAGTAGGGAAATGATAAATTGAAATTCATTGTGTTTAATTTTGTGGATGGAAGTTCCTGGGGAAGAGTTGAGGATGAGGATTTTCTGATTTTAGAAAAGGAGAGCAGTTGTGTGTTGAACTCTGGGAAGCCCTCCGTGGTCTGGCTCACAGGCCTCTTGGCCTCGCTCCTCAGCCTTTCTGACCCTACGAGAATCTCTTCAAGTTCTTCCCTCCTGCCCCAGTAGCATCGGAGTTTCAGTTTGTCCACAGATGGCTTGATTGGTTGTTTCCTCTTTTCTTTTTGCTGACTCTTTGCTCGCTCTTGGAGCTGCTCCAGAGCTTCACTTAAAAGATGGGCACTTTTGTCATGGAGGCCTTTACAGAGGGAGGTGTTCCAGAGAGTATGATCGAACCTTTGAAGGTTTGTACTGCTTTAAAGGTGGGCAAGAGAAGAGTTGCATGAGAAATCAAGGATGTTAAAACATTTCTTTCTATGTCTTTGTGTGGAATAAACAGTTTAGCCTTCCCTAAGGAATTTCTAGTTGTCTTTTCTCTTCAGTAGTTAGGCTGTGGTGCTATTATATGATTAGGCAATACTGATTTGAGATGATACTTTTGTACTACGTACTTGGGGAGAAGAAAACTGTGGTTTAAGGGTATCTCAGTATTTTTAGGGATGATAGAGCATTTTGGTCTGGATTTGATCAGGTTAGATGGCCAAACCTAAGACTGATTCACCATAGAGATGATTTAGCTAAATTAGAAATATATTTTTGTTTTTCTTTCTGATAAAAGGAAGTAAGTATTTCTTACAGACTTGCTTTTCTAGCGTGCTGGGAGCTGATGGTTCTCCACTTCCTTCCTGCTTATGGCAGTGCTGCTGTTAGGGAAACCAACTGTGTTTTAGGCTTTCGGCTTGGCTTTTCATGCCCAAGGCATGTGTGGTCCTGCTTGGGGCAGACTGTGGTTCCTGGTTCCCCCGCAGAGAACAGATATTCTTCTGAACTTCCAAATGCCTCCATGGGGGGGTGGGGGGTGGGGGGAGGGCTCAAAGAACTGGGCACAGTGTGTTTTAATTTTTTGTCTAGTCCTCTGGAGTAATTAAGTGAAGTAAATCATCCCAAGTCACTGAGTTCCTTGCAGAACATAATTCGGGTCTTGACTTGTGGCATCCAGACCCGTGGTGAACACCGTGGACCCACTTTGTGGCAGCCCCTTGTACTGCTCCTCATTGCACAGAAGTGCTCCAGACTAGAAGTGCTGAGATGCCAGTTTTTATTTCTAATCTGTGTGACCTAATACTTTATTTATAAAATCCAGTAAAAACAAATTGTAAAAATGAAGTTTAAAAAGGACCTACAAACAGATGTCCAAAGTTTTTATTATTAGGTTTAGCAGACATAAAATTATTTTGTTAAATTGCTTTAAACCTTTTAAAATTTCTTTTTTTTATTTTTAAAGATTTTATTTATTTATTTGACAGAGAGAGAGAGCAAGAGCAGGAACACAAGCAGGGGGAGTGGGAGAGGGAGAAGCACGCTTCCCGCTGAACAGGGAGCCTGATGTGGGGCTCGATCCCAGGACCCTGGGATCATGACCTGAGCCGAAGGCAGATGCTTAACGACTGAGCCACCCAGGCGCCCAGCCTTTTAAAATTTCCTACGTTTAGTTTCTGTAATTATCTCGTGGGCTAGTACCAAATAATTCACTGAGTGGCACTGGTTCTCGAACCACACCCCAAGGGATACTGCCTTACCTCTCCTCTTATCCTCTGATAGAACTCATTCTTGAATTTAGCATATTAGTGAAGCCAAGTGCTTTTGGGAAGGGCTGTATCTTGAATCACATTTGAACACTGTCTCCAGTTAGGCTATAGGAAGCACAATTTAAAATTTAATTAACATTGTAAAAATGGTTATTGAAGAATCAAGAAGCCAGTCTTTGAATTACACAAGCAACAGATCTGGAGCTATATGACTCAGAGACTTAGTAAAGTTTCTGAAATCAGTTCCTTAAAATCAGTCTGTTACTAAGATATGTGAGGAAGTAAATGTCTTTCCTCTGCCAACAAATCCCAGATAATGTGATTGCCTGCAAATAAACATAAGAATCAGAAAAACAAAAAACTAACCATCCTGGGTCCTGTATTCCACAAATCAGATTGTGCATTTAGCATTCTTAGATAGGATTATCAAGCCATTGCTCGAATCATAAACTTCTCAAAGTAGAAAGGCTTCTCTGAGGACCAGGGAATCCTTCCCCCCCCCGCCCCCCCCTCACTCCCCCGCCAATTTACCATAGCTATGACCAAACAGTGAGTCTGTCTTTAGTTCTTTCCCTAAACAGAATTGAACGTAATGACTATATTAGTGTCATCAAAACTTGGCTTGGTTTTGAAGTTGGGATGCTTAAATTATTGTGTTGGGGATTTTAAATTTCACTTACTAGTAGATTTTGTAATTTAATTTTACTTGTTTAACAATGAACAAGTGTAGTATTTTTATTAACTCATTATTTTTTTGAATTTGAGCTTCATTCTTTCTCTAAATTGTATTTAATGTTTACTTTTCAGGAATTACCCAACTCTGTCTTTCTGGTGATGGAGGTAGGTAGTATATGTGCTGTTTAATTTACTTCAAATTCCTTTTGAAGGAATTAGTATGTACTAATTGGTACTAATACTAATGTACTAATTTGATTAGTATTTAAAGTGGATGGTAGATTATTATTTGAAATTTTGAATTAATAAAGTCCATTTAGTGACTTAGATTCTACTTTATAAGTAATATATAATTTAAAAATTTGATACCATAATTCTTATGTTTTTCAGACTAGATTTACATTATGTAGAAACTCTTTAATTAAAATTAACTGATCATGAATTGAATTAATCTTGAATCCGTTTCCTTATTTTAATTATTTTTTCTTTCACGTATCAGTACTGCAATGGTGGAGACCTGGCAGATTATTTGCAAGGTAATTTTTGTTTGTCTGTCAGTGTTCAATAAAGATAGTACTGTAGTCTGTTTAATCCTGAGAGTTACTTCTGAAATAATGCTGACCCTGTTTTCTGCACTTGTATAGAAACATTCAATAAATATTTGTGTATTTGTTTGTGATCGCTTTGCTGACCAACTGTTGTTTGTTGTGGTTTTATTCCTAAACTTGTGTATAAGTGCTTCCTTCATGTGTCCCTCTTTCTGGCAGTGTTTGAGAGATGGGTCCTCTCCCCAAGAGAGAAAAAACCATATGGTTCTCTTCTTCAAAAGACTCTCTGGGTTACCAGCAGTGAGCCTTTAGTCTCTTTCATTTCTTTCAAAATAAAAAAATCGCAATGCAAAAATATATCTAAGAATGTGTTTATTAAGTGAATCTTTCTTGTAAATTAAAAAGTTACAGAGGATTAAATAAAATTAACATTGAAATTATTTCCTGGCAGAGGTGAGATTTTAGTACTAGATGGTGCTTGAAATTCTGTATCCAAAATGTATATACACAGGATGGATATAAGACATTCAGATCAAATTGTGTCTCCCACAAGAATTTTTTAAAATGGTGTTATGAGGCCAGCATCTCCTTGTTCATCCCTTAAAATGCAAGGGAAATATGCAAAAAATATCTCAACCTCTAAATAGATCATGGCCGTTGAGGGTGACCCTAACACATCAATAGGTACACTTATGAAGGGTGTGGACAGTTCACGAGAACATATTGAAAATGTTCAGTTTCACCTAGTAATCAGGGAGTGCAATTGAAAGTGAGCTTTTAAAAATCTTTCAAGTATAAAATATTGCTGACTTTCAAAAGCTGCGCAGAAATTAATAGGAAGAACACTGGGAGTGTTGCCCTCAGCCCTCACCTGCGGTGGGTGAAGTGGCCCCAGGGCGCAAAGCTCCTTCCCTTCCGTGGCCGCGGGCCTGGGCACACAGGGGACAGCGGTGACCCCAGGACGGCGACCCCACGGATGCCACATGGTCCACCACCAGCAGAGCTCCTGCGGTCCATGTACATCGGCTGGCCAGCCAGGCACTGGAACTGCCACCGCGGAGAAGGAGCAGAGCGGGAGTCCGGTTCATCCTGAGCGGGGAGATTCAGGCCCGAGGGGAGCCGAGACCCCGCCTGATCCCACGTGTCCCTGTCCTGAGTGGACCAATTCTCCTCGGCTCCTGCTTCCTCTGCGGCGTCCCGCCTGCCCTGCCCACCGTGGGCCCCTCCTGAACCAGCACACCTTAGGGGAGGCACCAGACAGAGACAGGATTTGGAAGCTTGGTTTTTGGCTAGCTGATTGTTGGGGAAGGAGAGGAGGGAGTGAGGGAAGGAAGGAAGGAAACTTACTACGCCCCCCAATTAAAGAAAAATTATGAATAGTTGAAGCTCCGTAGTCCCACTCCGGTCCTTGCCCTTTAGAGACAACCTTTACCTTGAATTTGGGAGTTTATTGCATGTGTAGTTTTGTGTTTTTCCCAACCAAGTTCTTTTTTTTAATCCTAATTTAGTAAATCTTTTCTTTTTTCAAAATGTTATTTACTAGTAGATAGAATGCAGTGAGACAGGCACTTTCATTGACCACTGCTGGAAAGAAGTTCAAGCTAGAAAACACCCTGCTTCTGCCTTCTCAGTCAGCGAATCTCGAGTTCCTTGATGTTCTCAGTGATCCGGGTAAAAGCACCTTTTCCCCTGGGGTCAGACTGAGTGGCACCCTATCAGTTCAGTGCCCTCGTTGGAATATCAGTTTCCCTCATTAACAGAAGTTGTCCTCACCGATGCAGGCACTGTTACTGGTGTCGCGGATTTAAGTCAGCTGTGGCAGCAGTTTCGTCCATTATGTTGAACTCTGTATTTGATATTCCAGAGCACTAGTGTTAGAACAGGAGACCCAAGAGTGAGTTTACGAGCTTGAGTGTTGGAGTCAGACAGACTGGTTTACAACTGTGTCCCTCTTCACATCACTTAATTGCTGTGGTTTTGGTCAAGTCCTTGAACCTCTCCCTGGCCCCTCTCTGCCACAGTCCTTAAAGGAATCCCTTGTAGTTTGAAAACACTTGTAAAGAAATATAAAAGAAATCTGGGCCTCAAGGAATTTTCAAGAGTTAAATTGTTCAGTAAGGTGGCCACCAACCATATGGGGCTACGGAGCTCTTGAAACGTGGGCCAGTCTGAAGATGTGCTGCAAATGTGAATATATTTGATTTTGAACACTTCAAGGAAGAAAAGGATTATATTTCGTTAAGGCTTTTATGTTGATTACAAGTTGAAATCGTTTTGGACGTATTAGATTAAATATATATTATTTAAACCTGTTTCTTTTTTGTTTTTAAAATGTGGCTACTACAAAATTTAAAGTTACGTAAGTGGGTCACATTATATTTCTGTCGGAGAGCATTATATCACAACAGGATCATTTAGTCCTTTTATTTCCTTTGATAAGTAAAATGCCATTCACATTTTCAAAAGAAAACAAATTCTGATTGGCAAGTTTTAAAACATCTTAAATTAATTAGCAAGTAGTACTTGAACATGGATTCTAGCAGAATTCGTTGAGTGTGGCAGCTGCAGCTGAGCCTACTCCCTCTGGGGAGTAACTGGCTCAAGAATTCATTTATTTGGAAGAGTTTTGATGTTGGCCATGCCTTTAAAATACTAAGTTTTTAGTGTAGCAAATTCAGTTTATGGGGTTGTGATGAGAAGTATGCATTCCATGTTCATAGAACTATGTGAATATTTACTACAGTTTGTGTCCCTACTCCCTCTGGGCTAACTTGCTCAAGAATTCATTTATTTGGAAGAGTTTTGATGTTTGCCATCCCTTTAAAATACTAAGTTTTTAACATGGCAGATTCAGGATATGGGGTTGTGATGAGAAGTATGCATTCCATGTTTATAAAATTATGTGAATACTTACTACAGTTTGTGTCAGAAACAGATTACACTAGATCATTCATTTCCCCCCACAAGAGGAGTGTTAGAATTTGGACTCAGAAGCAAATAAATTTTAAGTATATTCAATTGTCATGGGGCAAAAATTCAATTTCTAAGCAGCTGCAGTCATTTAAAGTAGCCCTAGAATGAAAATGGAAATGAATGAAATGGAAAACCGTCCATTCTAATTTTTGCAAAGTAACTTAAGTAAAACATTACAAAAATAAAGATCTAATCATTGGTTTGACCCACCCACAAAGATCTGGAAGAATATATTCCCTATTTTTAGCAGTGTTTATTTCCGAGGGATGGCATATGGAAAATACCACTTTTTTTATGTTTTAGTGTATTTAGATTACTTTTTTGTTTTCACTGAGCATCAAGAAAAGAGCCCCAAAGAATTAAAAAAGTAGAACAGAAAGAAGTATTTATAAAGCATGGGGATTTATCTTCTTTGAAGATGTTAAGGACATAAAATGTCATTATAACGTGTCTAAAATGATTTTAAAGCTAATAATTTGTTCCAAGGGTAATATTACTTTGGTCTTCTTAATTGCATATTGAAAGGTTATATAGAACATATTCTAGAGTTTGTATGGGCAGAAGTATGTTCACAAAGGATTTAGTAGATAGGGTCATGGCTATTAAATCCCTAATGTAGTTCAGGAATCACACTTGTGGCTTTTAGATTCATTGTAATAAAAAGTTTATCTTTGTGTACTAACTGTATTTGAATGGTTATTCTGTGCCAGGCTTTTTCTAAAGTCTTTATTATTAAAGGCGCTATCTTGTTTGATTGTCACAACAGCCCCATGTGGTTAGTCTGTTTCCAGCTTTTTCTAGATGAGGAAGTAGGCACAGAGGGTTCATCTTCCAGGGTCACACAGTAAGGAGGCAGAGGAGCTGGGATTTGAAGAAAGGCAGCCTGACTCCAGATCAAGCTGTTGACCATTACAATATGCCCCACCAGACACACAGACACACTCTAGTGGTCAATGATGACTACCCTCCGATAATGTCCATACTGTCTCTTCATAGTAGTGAAAACAAGTGTTCCTTCTTAAGGGTGTCTAGCGATGAGAGTGGTGGGGCAGGAATGTTGCAGCAGGGAAGATGAGGGGAGAGCCATGTGGGAGCACAGACCCCTCATAGCTGCAAGTGGTGGACAAAGGTCCCAGTCCCCATTGGTAGACCCCACCTGCTTTTAATTTGTGCTCATATAATGGCAGCGTTGAAATATGGACATATATCCCAGATATTTGGCTCATAACAAGGGGAACTTATATTTTGGCTTGTTGAGGGGACCTCACATCTGCTGAGTACCTGTTGTGCTCAGAGTCACGTGGGCACCTTCACCAGTAAAATACGGGAAAGGAAAAAGACCAGCGAAAATGAGAGATGCAAATGTAAGTCAGTTCTCTTTACAACAGATCCAGTGAAGCGTTTGAGGTGTCTGATATCTTTTCATAGACTTAAATTATTAGAGTAAAACAGAAAAAAAAAATGTGACTCCCAGTTCCTCACTCCCTCTATGTTCTTAACTCAATTCTGTTGATGGGAGACGCAGATGGTATTTGATTTTGTGTGCTTAAATATTTATGCGATTCCTTTTCTAACAGCTAAAGGAACTCTCAGTGAAGATACTATTAGAGTGTTTCTGCATCAGATCGCAGCTGCCATGCGGATTCTGCACAGCAAAGGAATAATCCACAGGGATCTCAAACCACAGAACATCTTGCTGTCATACGCGAATCGCAGAAAATCCAACGTCAGTGGTATTCGCATCAAAATAGGTAAATGGCCATGCAGTGTTTTACGGAAAGGACAGTCTTGAGATTCCATAGTTTTAAGAAAATTTTTGTTCAGCTTTGTTAGAATGATGGGTTTTGTTGGTGCGCTTTTGAAATGTTCATTGAGTTCAGCAAGGTGCATTTGGATATGGGAACCCTTTACATTACTGGCAGCCTATCCTAAATCTCAGGACCGAGGGGCCCATGCTAGGAACTCCAAACACGACCCCCAGCAGCAAACCCTATCCTGCTTCTCATACATAACATGATGTTTTATCATCATAGCCGCAGTTGAATAACCCGGGTTCTTTACAGCCCATGGGATTTTAACACAGGGGATCTAAGAGACCATTTAGATCAGCCTTTCTTTTTCACAATTATTTGAAGCAGTTTGTAATGCTAGGTATTTTTAAAAGCTTTTCTTTAAAAATAAAAAAAAATTTATTTTACCAGTATTTAAAGAAATTTCTGGAGGCGCCTGGGTGGCTCAGTCGGTTGGGCGTCTGCCTTCGGCTCAGGTCCTGATCCCAGGGTCCTGGGATCGAGCCCCACGTTGGGCTTCCTGCTCCGCGGGGAGCCTGCTTCTCCCTCTCCCTCAGCCCCTCTCCCAGCTCATTCTCTCTCTCTCTAAAATAAATAAATAAAATCTTTAAAAAAATAAGTTTCTGATTTTCTGTATGTTACATCTGGATCTGGAGAAGGAAAAAAAAGGTTCACATTCTGTACCTGGCACTGATATTTAGTGAGAGCTATATTAATGAATCATTTATTGCAGTTAGCATTTTCTCTCGCAAAGCTTGGTGCTCGCTCCCTGATTACAAAACTGACAGAACAGTGACTTGTACAGTCAGTGATCACTACCAGTTCTTAGCCTGTCGAAACTGAGGTAGAAACCTTTTTCTTCGGCAGACAGACTTACTCAATAAGCTGCAAATTCCTGACAATTCCTTTGTGCCCTCTTGTGTCTTGAAGGTATGATCTATGTGAAGTGTGAGTAAAGGTATCCTTTGTTTTTCTCCTTTTTATTTTGTGAAATAGCGGATTTTGGGTTTGCTCGTTACCTGCATAGTAACATGATGGCTGCAACACTGTGTGGGTCCCCAATGTACATGGTGAGTGGACTAGTTTTTGTCTTTGCCTGTGTATAGTACGGTGCCTTTAGCACTGGAATTTCAGTATGATGCTGGTTTCCAATTAAGATGTGATTTTGTGTATAGCCTAAATTGTTTTACTGACACTGATTATATTACTGATAGTGCTATAAGTCCTCTTTTGCTTTAAAATAGTGGACTGTAGAAGTCAGTCACTTTTACCCATTAGTTAAAATTTTTTTTTAGAGTAGGCTCCAGGGGCGCCTGGGTGGCTCAGTGGTTAAGCGTCTGCCTTTGTCTCAGGTCATGATCGAGCCCCGCATCGGGCTCCCTGCTCCGCGGGAAGCCTGCTTCTCCCTCTCCCACTCCCCCTGCTTGTGTTCCTTCTCTTTGCTGTGTCTCTCCCTGTCAAATAAATAAATAAAATCTTAAAAACAAAAACAAACAAACAAAAAAAAAAACAACAGTAGGCTCCACACGCAGTGTGGAGTCCTTTTAGTTTAAGTTTTTTTTTTTAAATTAGTTATTAATGGTAGAAATTCCCTATTAGATTAAATTGAAAACACAAATTGATGAAGCATGGTCATGCTATCCTTGATGTGTAATATTAGGGAAGACTTTATTTTTTTAAAAAACTCTCTTGGGCATTTCTTCATCTCTAGGGTGAACATGCTCATCTTTTGCATGTTATTTCTCTTGACAAGATCCCTGGATCATAGGTTTTCACTTAGTGTTAGAGGTAAAGCTGAAAAATCTTAGTTCTCCCCTTCATCCTTCCGTATGGATGTTGTCATGTCTGAAAAGGCAGAGGCTATGAAACTTCCCGAACCAATGTGAAGCATCAAGCCCGGAAATAGCTTAGTTCTGGAGCTTCAGAATTCTGCAGAATAAATCCATGTACCTATCTCAGTTCTAAGTTTAAAATGGGTTTATATTCAGTAGGGATTTCCTCTGACCTAAATCAGTGAGAAGCTTACTAGGGATGACAACTAAAAATGGTATGCCTGGAAAATAAAGTTTACTGGCTTTGAGCGTGTTGGACATTTCTGTTTAATGTTTGTCCAGATTATTGGTATTTTTAAAAAGCAGCATCTAGTGAGAAGAGGTGGGAAAAGAGCTGTAAGAAAGCAGAGAAAACAAACACCTTTGCTTTTAAGACAATCCTTAATTGTGTTTTCATCATAGTGTGTGTATTATTTTAAAAGCTTTCAAATGACAGGGAAAACGGAGGAATACAGCAAACACTTGTGTACCTATTTTCCATGTTTAACAAAGGTAACATTTTCCATGTGTGCCTTGATCTTTTTTCTTTCTAGAAAATAAAATATTTCAGCAAGAGACCAAGTCCTGTAAACCTTTCCCTCTTTCCCTTTCCCACTGTTCTACCCCAGAAGTAACCTCTGTCCCGTAGCTGGTGTGTATTTTTATTATAACCTTAATACCCTTACTGTATTGCTGTCCACAGTAATATATAGAAATGTTTGTTTCTATCAATTGCTTCTTTTCATGCAACGTTGTTTTGAGATTTACCAGTAAATACCAGTGTGCGAATGTGGTTTAAGTTCACAGCAGGATCATCTGATTAGGGAAATGTCACAGTGTGATCTCATTTTAGTTGTTTTGTTAGAAGCATGACCTTTACCAGTTAATTTATCAATATTAGTATGTAAGTAACATCATGCATGTGTCTGGAATGTTTTTATCCCCAGGCTCCTGAAGTTATTATGTCTCAACATTATGATGCTAAGGCAGACCTGTGGAGCATAGGAACAGTGATATATCAATGCCTAGTTGGAAAACCACCTTTTCAGGTAGCCTGAATCTTTACTTCTGTGCTTGGTTTTGGGATCTTCTCATTTCACAGTTGCCTTTGACTTAGAAAACGGGGAATACTTTGAAAGCAGTGTTTTTGGTTGCCTTGTGATTTGTTTTGATTTTGTGAGCCAGAACAGCTTTTGCTTTTCCTTTTTTTAATCTGCCTTCCCTTTGTAGTTGGCCTGGGCATAAAGCCCGTTATATGTTTGCCAGGCTAGTGACAACCAGCCGGGGTCAGGACTGACACTCTGGTGGGAAATGGTGTGAACAGTGATGTTCAGCGCTTCCTGCTTAGCTTGGTTTGGGGGTCCCTGCACTCCACGTGCGGGCTAGGCCTAGGCTGGGAAGATCACCGGAAACCATCTCCAGCTTCCTATTCCTGTCGCTGCTGGGTGAGAGAGGGTTGATGGTTTAGTTTTTATGCACATTATTTGGGGTTACTCTTCCCTCTCCTCGGCTCCCCTCACATCCGATCAGAAAGAGACCCTCTAGAACGAATCATGGTGATTCCTCCTGAGTTCGTACAGCCCAGTAGCAGAGAGGTTTTTTGAACCTGAAAACTGGAACAAAGTCAACTTATCTCTGTAAAAAAGTATATAAAATCAGTGCCCCAGCCATTTTAGACACAATTTCTCAGTCCAGTTGGTTAGAGTGGCGGCCGAGGGGCGGCTTCGCTGCTCCAGCAGTTCTTACCGTCTGGGCGCCACCTGGTGCTGGGTGCCCGGGGAGGGACTGAAAGGCAGGCTCGCGCTTCATTCTCTTCCTTGCACCCTTGGCAGTCCTAAGGGAAAATACACCCTGATTTTCCCCAATAAAAATGTACTTGTTGCGTGGGCTGGGTGACTTCCGGAGGAGTGGTTCTTAACTCTTCCTAAGTTTCAGGCTCCTCTGGGAGGCTGACCTCAGCAAAGAGACCTTGAGCCCAGATACGCAGAGTTCACACACAGTTCCAGAGGTATTTAAGTTCCTGGTGCCCATCTGTGTCTCCTTCCACAACCCAGGACTTTCTTGGTTCATAATGTGTGCTCTGTAGCAACCCTGTGAGCATGGATCACATGATTTGAACTTTCTTCCCCATTGTCTAGGGAATAAAACCTTTTTTTTTTCTTTTTTTTAAACAGGCCAATAGTCCTCAAGACCTAAGGATGTTTTATGAGAAAAACAGGAGCTTAATGCCTAGGTAGGTGTTCGGTTAAGCTGGGTTTTATTGTCTGTAAATGCAGCATTATGTGAACTGTGTTACCGATTTCCATTCTTGAATCTTTATTCAGTTGACATTAATGTGAGAACATTCATTATAACAAAATCAGAAAATTACTGGTGCATCATAGGTGCCTGGGTAGTGCTGTACCTTTTTTTTTTTTTCTTTTTTAAAATGTAAAGTGTATTTAAAAGGAAAAAAAACTACAGAAGTTTTACATGTTCTTTGAGGGGAGGGAGATGCAAACAGAACAGATGTGCGTGAACTAGGAGGCCAGTTCCTCCCTTGGCCTCCCCTGCTCTCTAGGATAACACATACTGGCTCTGTACCTTATGTAGATATTTATACACACACATTTACATATTTATGCACACATATTTCAATACAAATTACATCATACTTGACAAAGTTCTGCAACCTTTTTTTTACTGTACAATCTACCTTAGACATCATTTTAGTGACAGGATATAGAGAACTACCTCATTCTTTTAAGTGGCTCATAGAGTTCCATGGCTGGATGTATCATATTTTGTTTAATCAGATCCTTGTTTTCATTTTTTGGTTACTCCAAACAGTGTTTAGTGAAGTTTGTGTGTGTGTGTGTGTGTGTGTGTATGTACACTTCTGTGTATTTCTTCAGGATAGACTCCTACAAATGGAATTGTTAGACCAAAAGGGTTGCTCTCCAAATTAGCTAATGCAGCAGTACAACAGAGTGCTTGTCTCCCCACATTTTTACCAACACAGGAGGTTATCACACCAGGTGCCTCACAAACAGAAGAGGACCAATTAGCTCTTCAATTTGCATTATTTTCTTTACTGGTAAAGTTGGCACTCTTTCATTTGTTTATGTCCTTTTGTAGTTTTTATTCTGTGAATTGCATGTTCCTATTAGTCATTTTTCTTTTGGTTTGTCTTTTTCTTGGTGGATTTTAGGAAGCTGTATTGTTTCTCACTTGTATTTGAGCTGTGCCCTTTTCCAGACAGAATTGGAGGTGGCTCTTCTTCTAATAGAGAACGCTAGCAAATATTAGTGCCAAGTTGAAGTTGTGTTAAAACTCAAGATTGTGCTTGTGAAGTGCTTCATGCTTGCAGATATTCAAACAGATAACAGTAATAAGCACAATGCAAGAATCTTCCCGAATGGATGCCCTTTCTCAAAGGCAATTGCTTAATGTTTTGTTTTTTGTTTTTGTTTTTCTCCTATAAGGCATGACGCTTTACCAAGATCTTCTTGGTATAAAATGTATTTGCAAAGCTGCATATACAATTTCATTTACCATAATGAAGGCAAAAATCATGTAGTTAATATGTATAAACTCACCCACTTAGAGTTGTTTTCTTCCTTTCCCCCAGTATTCCCAGAGAAACATCACCTTATTTGGCTAATCTCCTTTTGGGTTTGCTTCAGAGAAACCAGAAAGACAGAATGGACTTTGGTAAGTAATAATTTCAAATTTTGTATGCTCTCTAATTTTATTTTTGTGTATCCCCCAAAAATTATTTTTGAATGATACTATAGAGTTTTCAGGAGAAAATTAAAGTCAATTTCTTTCTCTCTCTTTGTCTTTTTTCTTCCCTTATTTTGTAAATATTTATTGACTGCTCACTATGTTCTAGGTGCAGAGGATAGAGTAATAAATAATAAAGAAAATCCCTGTCCTCATGTATTCTCGTGGGGGAGAGGCAAACAAAGGATAAATGATAATCACGCACCATATAGAAGGTGATAAGTGCTGTGGGGAAGAAGAGGGAAGGGAAATGCAGGTGGGGGAGGGATTGAAAGTTTAAGTTCTGTGAAGCCCTTTCTGAGGAAGTGGCCTTTGAATAAATACTTGATTGAAGGACAGCAGCATAGTGAGACAGTGGGCGATGTGCATGTCTGTGGGAAGAGCTTTCCAGGCAGAGTGAACAGCCAGTACAAATGCTCAGGGCTGGGAGTGTGCCATGTAAGCTGGAGGAACAGTTAGAAGGCCAGTTAGAGACGTGGGCTTTTGCTCAAAGTGTGATGGGGAGAATGTGAGCAGAGGAATGATAGGATCTGACCGATCTTTAGAAAGGAGCATTCTGGTTGCTTGTTGCCAACAGACTGTGGAGAGGGGCAGTGAGGTAGCCAGAGCACAGAGGCTGGGGGACCAGTCTGGCGCCTACAGCAGTTACGCCAGTGGGAGATGAAGGGGCTTAGGCCGGAATAAAAGCCACAGAAGTGGTAGGGAGTCCCTTGAATTCTGGATCTTTTTGGAGGTAGAGGCAGCAGTATTTACAGATGAATTGGATGTGGGGTGTGAGAGAGAGAGAAGATTCAAAGATGCCTCCAGGGTGTCTGGCCTGGGCACGTGAAGGAGTAGAGTTGTTGGTTGTGGACATGGGTGAGGCTGTGTGGCTCGAGCAGGCTATGGGGCAAATCAGGTTCAGCTGGGACCTGTCAAATTGAAGACCCGCGTTCAGCGTAGGAGTCCGGATACCCAAAGGGCACCTGGAGTTCAGAGGAGAGGTCTGGGCTGGGGATGTATTTGGGAGAAGATCTGGGAGGAAGGAAAGGAGGAGAAACACTCCAGAATCCTGGTGGAAAAGTCCCTGGCCTCGAAGATGGGGTTTCGGGAGACAGGGAGGGGAGCTCCGTGGCAGTCTGGTTGCACGGCTTTAGGGCTTTAGGAGAGCAGGCTCTGGGTGCTCCACGAGGCCGTGATTTTAGATTTTTACATTCAAAAGGTGAATCACTGATTTTGAGCCTTTCTTCTTTTTATAATATAATCATTTAAAGCTAAAAATTTCTAAGTATTTTAACTTAACACAGTCTATTTTCAAACAATATTTTACCACTTGTCGCATAATGAAAGAATTTGGAATGCTTAATACTGTAGGGATTATCCAGTTCCTGAAGGTTTTGAAAGAACCTTTTTCCCTGAAATTGTTTGGGTCTCAGCTCCTCTTTGGGGGACAGTTTGTTACTTGTTCTTATCAATCTCATGTAAGAGATTGTTCTTCTCGATCTTATTCGTACCAGTCATATGTAAAAACAGCACTACTTATATTTAAATGTCAGACCAGAAAAACCATAAGACATGTTCAATGAAAATGCTTATTAACCTTGATCTTGACATTTTTAGAAAAAAAAGTGATGTCTCCTGTAGTAATTCGTTGTAATAGTAATAGAGATTTGCAAAAACTTAGTCGAGAGTTTTGGTGTGTTCGTGTGTGTTATGCAAGTCCACATAGGCTTCTGGATAAGACAGACCAGGGTTTGAATTCTAGTCCCTCAACTTGCTAGCTCTTTGACATCGGAGAAGATACATGGCCTTTATGTGCTTTATCCTTGTCCGTAAAAGGAAGATAATGCTGTGCGTTAAGTTTGTGAGGATTAAATAAACTGTTATGTGAAGCACTCAGCTTGTTGTCCTAGCAAATGTCCTCAGGAGACAATAGGTCCAGAAGTTTCCATATAAGGGACAAGGTGAAATAGTCTGAGTATGTATTTTCTTAAAGTTTCGTGAAGTTGGAACTAAATTTCAGCACATGTACTTGGTAAATATTTTTATCTTTCAGAGGGAGAAATTAAATTGAGAGTTGCCCTGTAACCATGAGAAATAGGGGTCAATACTGAAACAACATATTCATCGATAATAGTTTTAAAATGATAGATCATATCAAGCATTTGTATATTTTCCATACCATAGCAGTTGATGGAGGATGTGGTTTCAGAGCATTTGCATTCAGTTCTTTTTATATCTTTTTTGTTTTGTCCCTATTATGTCCATTGCAAAAATTAGCATAAAAAATCTTACATGTCAAACTAGCATTTATGTGTACGTATATTAATTTTCTAAAAATGATCTCGGGTAGTAAACTCATGTTTTTCTTCAAAATCCTCCACATTTCTATTCCTTAGCAAATCTTGTAACTGATATTTACCCTGAGTGGCTTTTGGCGATTTATTTCAGTGAGACTCATGGGACCGTTCCGAGCAGAAGCTACTTTAGACTGGCCCTGAGTTAAGCTTTTCCTGATCTCGTATCACCTCATTTAAACCCCCATCGCTGGTATGGTGCTGCCCTCCTTGCCTGCTCTGGGAAATTTACTAGCATACAGCTCTCAGACTTCATGACCCAGGAAATTATCTTTGTGGGTTTTTAAAGAAATAATGAAACGGGGAGGTAAAGAAAGTAAAGTACACAGGAAGGTAAAGAAAGTCATGAATGGCCATGTCCTCGCCGACTTACTTATCTTTATCTTATTAGCAGCCTTACTGTGTAGGTTTTATCCTCGGTGGACAGCCAAAGAAATTAAATCAGACTTAACAGATTTAAAAAAAAAAAAATGTGAAACCAGCTGCAGGAATATCTCTTCTGGGATAGAAGGATGGAATTTATTGTATAACTCAGCGGCCTGGATTGCCTCGTAGGACAGTTATCCATAGCTGGGCTTCCCCTACGCGCTTAGCAGGGCTGGCACAGGTCCCAGAACACGTCTGCCTCGGTTGCTCGGGGCCTGTCGCCTTGGTAACGTGTGTTTGCAAAATTCACAATTATTATTTTAAATTATAATCTGATCATTTTGTAGATGACTTATAAAAATCATAGGCTTTTACAGTGGAAGGAGATGGAGGCTACATAAAGAAGTTAATAATAATTATGGTCTCAAAGACACTGTTAAATACATCGACAAGATTAACCTGTCTGCTAGTCAACCTCAGTTTAAGGGTTGCATTCTCCTTTTCTCATTACAGAAGCGTTTTTTAGCCATCCTTTTCTAGAGCAAGTTCCAGTGAAAAAATGTGAGTACCCATTTCTTTGCATTTTTACTTGAAGAGTGAAGGCAGACTTAAGGGAAAATTAGCATTTTGTGTCACAAAATTAATTTTTGATTGTGCTTCTCAAGATTTCGTTGAGCTTTTCTTCAGTACCTGTAGCTTTATTTATTGAATTACACAGTCATTTTTTTTCCAAATCCCAGTTGAAATAGTTGTAGTAATTGCTGCAGTTGTAGTTTTACCCCTGGGAGCTGTAATAAGTAGGTGAATGAATTTTTGGTCAACACAAAGATGTCGTAGTTTCAACAGGTTTTCTATTAGACGAGCCGTGTAATTGCTCTGCAGAGTGGCGTCTCTCTCCATCTGTGCTTCTTCCCCCAGCCTGCCCAGTCCCGGTGCCCGTGTACGCTGGCTCTGTCTCTGGAAGCTCCTGTGGTGGCTCTCCATCTTGTCGTTTTGCCTCTCCACCAGTAAGTTTTGGTTTTACTAAACATGGTTTCAGAGTTAGTGCTATTGCCTCTGTTCGTAAGGGAGCCTGCCAGCGCATTGTGGATGTCCTTTTGATGTGCACTTACTAGTGCTGCTGCGGTTTGGGCAGAGAGCACGATTGTTGAGTCAGATGGACCTAGATTTGGACCTCTGCCCTTATGTAGCTAAGTGTGCTTTAGCAAGAAATGGCACCCCTCTGGGCCCTTTTCCTCTCAACAGGGAGTACAGTACTCTCACCTTTTCATGCCCTAGGGGTTGGGAAGGGTGATATTTGCGAAGAGTACCCATCACAAGTAGATAGGTTATAACTGTTTTCTCTATCATCACATCAGTTTGGATATTTATTGTACATAGACTTTCCAGTGGTGGTGAGTGACCTCTGAGCCACATTCTTCTGACTTCAGTTCCCATAATGATGGCTACCAGCCCTTCAAGAGTTGCTCCACACCAGCCTCTTCCCTCCCCTGGGCTTCCCAGGCCGTTTTCTCCATGGCTTTCTCCCCTCCAACCTAAGTGCTTCTTCTAGATCCTGAGAATTTCTGCTCCACTCTCCCAGGGTTTTACTCTGCCCTTTTCTGACCCTTTCCCCAAATCTCTGTTGCAGTGTGGGTTGTGACCTTGAGGCTTTTCCATCAGCTGAAGGTCCAAGGGCTCTTGTGTCAGCTATTGTGAATATTTTCCAGATTAGCCTGGCAGACATGAATTTCTTGAATTCTGCTGGCAGAGGGTGGGGCAGTGATAAAAGGAGGTGATTGTATAATTAGCGGGTTCCCCTCAGAGAGGTTAAAGAGCATGGGGCTTGGGAGCTTCTGCATTCCTTACTTGCCACATTAACCCGAACAAACGACTTAATCTCTTTGAGCCTGTTTCTCATATGGAAAGCGAGTGTAACTGACCTATTTCATAGGGTTTTTTAAGGATAAATGAGCAAAAGCACTTTACTACAATGTCTGGTACCTAGTACTCAGTAAGTGGCAACTGCTGTTATTATTCATTTCAACGAAAACCTAACAGCCCATAGCTAAAGCAGATGCTGAAGCAGCCGATCGCAAACAGACGAGTCCTAAAACTGGCAAAAACCCTTTTTGCCTAACCCTGCAGACTTAAACCAAGTTAGAGAAAGCAGATGGGCTAATAAGACATCATAGTCCCATGAATTAAAAAAAAAAATAAAAGGGGAAAAAAAAGTGTTGTGGATTTCCTGCTTCAGTCTGGAATATAAGAAAACCCTGGATTTGAGTGACTGGGGAGAAATGCAGAGGAAGTGTACCAACATGGAAAGACACTTGGCTTTATTTGGAGCCAGGCACAACTGACTTCAGTGCTGCCCAGGCTGCTTGCTCACCCTTAACTTGGAGCAGGTCAGTTCCAGAGCTGAGCCGTGGCTCCTTCATCTGTAAGGCAAGCTTCATGAAGCTGTGCTTCGACAGCAGCCGGAGTGGGTACTTGATAAACTGTAGCTATTATTATGAGGTCTATATTTGATACTGTGAGACATGATATGAAAAGCAAAGTTTATGCTTGAGAAAGGAACCACAGGGAAGAATCTAATTATGAGAGAGATGTGGGAGAGAGCAAGAAGAAAGGAGCCTGTTTGTAGAATGACCAAGGAATGAGAAAGAGAGGGTCCGGTAGGAGGGACATTGAATTGGAAATTGCTTTATCTGGAGAGAGCGAGTTGGGGTTTTCTGTTGGGTGGGGTAGCATTGAAAGGGAGAGCACACAGAGCTAGGCTCAGGCTGCTGGGGAAGAGACGGAGTGCTAAGAGGAGTGAGGACATGCCAGAGGGATAGAAGAGACATATTTAGATGCTAAAAACTTTGGTGGGCAAACCATTTTTAGAAGGCTTTTATTAAAAGCTAATGCTTGGGGCGCCTGGGTGGCTCTCAGTCCGTTAAGCGTCGAACTCTTGATCTCAACTCAGGTCTTGGTCTCAGGGTCGTGAGTTCAAGCTCTGCATTGGGCTCCACGCTGGGTGTGGAGCTGACTTAAAAAAAAAAAGAAAAAAACTGATGCTTGAAGTGAAAATAAAAAGTGAAAAAAGAAAGCTGGGGAATAAAAGGAAATCCAGTATGTTTCCAATTTCCAGATAGTGAGATATGGGATGGTTTAATAGGCCTTGCTTTTAATGTAACCTGCCAAAAATAAGATAATTTTATGTATGCATCCCCTTCCTTCCTATGGCTGGAGTAGACTTTCATATGGAGGGTTGATACACACAGTCATGCACATACAACATTCTCTTTTTTTACATTCTCACACAAATATCCAGCTGCTACTTGATTCCAGAGAAATCTTTGAAAGGAAAAAAAAAAGTCCCAATCAGTCTTTGAGTTATGATATTGGCTATAGGTTAAATGCTATTCAGATAGTATTTCTTGGACATTTCTTGGTTTCATTACATTTATTAGACACCTAGTTTCTATAAGGTTCTGTTTAATACTGATGAATGAAATGACCAGATCTCTTACATTAAGGAGTTTTTCATTGAGTTTTGTGGAGAAGAGGTAGGTAAAGCAATCACTGTTGGTGGAAGCATATGTGTGTGTCTCTTTATTGCCTGTGGGAACATGAATGGGGAGCATGAAATCAGACCAAGAACTCAGGAAGGCTGCTCAGGGGAGGACATTGAGCAGAGTTTTAAAGAAAGACCTAGCAAGGTGAATTAGTAAAAGAATGGCATTGTAGGCAGAGATATCCCCATTCATGAAGTCATGGAAGCATGACCCACTGAAAGTATTCTCTAACCCCCCGGGCCCACTTAAATTTGTTAGAAGTAAGTGAAATTTAAAAGTTTGTTCCTTAGTCATGTTAGCCCCATTTCAAGTGTTCAGTAGCTGTCTATGGCTAGTAGATCCGTGTCTCCATCATTGTTGGAAGTTCTGTGGACAAGGCTTCTCTGAGCAGTCCAGGCTGGGTGGATGCAGAGAGCATTGGTGGTGTGGGGAGGGGTAGGTAAAGCTAGAGAGGCCGGGAACTGCTATATCCTGATGGGATTTGGCTGTGGTGAGCCATCTGAATGCTTTTAGGTGGAGGTGTGCTATGACCCGCTGTGTGTCTTAGCTCGATTCTTCAAAAAGCAGGGTGGAAGGCTGGATTTGAGACTAGTAGAGAGTAGAGTGGTCTCTCTGTCAGAGAAAAGAGAACACTGAAGACTATCGCACCTTTCTTGTTTTGCTTTTGTTTTTCTCAGAATGAGGGCCTGAGTTCGTTCATTTTGTTTTCTGAGAATGAGGGCCTGCGGGAAGGTGGGGGCCAGGTGAGAGAAGGGTAGGGTTTGCCGAGCCTGGAATTGCTTGAACTGGGGACCGAATGGATGGATGATGGTGAAGTCGCGCAGTCAGGGAGTGTGGGGAGGAGAGCTTTGGAGTCGGGAGGTGGTGAGTTAGTCCACGCTCACCGGAGGGACCTAGGTTGTAGAGGTGTGGTGGTACCCGGAGGGTGAGAGTGGTCGCCAGGGTAAGTATAAAAATGTGGGGGGCAGAGGGCCCAGGGTGGCACCGTGGGGAACTCCACCCTCTTATCCCTCTCCTTTAAGGGACAAACGAGAAGCAGTTACCCACAAAACAGACTAAGAAGCAGGCTCACTGAATGAAGGGGTAGAGTTGCAAGAGTGGTCCGCAGTGCAGATGAAACGGAGCTCGGGTAACTTTAGGAATAGAGCACGTGTCCACACGACTTGGCAGTGGGAGTGAATGGTAAGCCTGATAAAGACCATCTTATTGGACAGTTGAAGGCAGAAAATGATTATGGTGGGTGAGCAATACATAGGAGGTGAGGAGTTTGAGTCGGTGAAGATTGATGATTTCGAGAGACATTGTTAACAAGTAAAGAAGTGAGAGAAGATGGTTAATTAAGAGGACTGCAGGGATTTGCGGTGTGAGAAAATGGAACGTATTTATGTGCGGAGGGGAAGAAAGCCAGAGGAAAGGGAGAGGGTGAGAGCTTCAGGGCAGGGGGGAGCTGGTCCAGGTCTCTGAGGAGGTGGAGGGGAATAGACTTAGAGCGCGGGTGGGGAGACCAGCGAGGAGACCTCTTCCGCTCAGATGCTGTGGGTGCAGACAAGTTTACTTGAGAAAGTGCCTGCCTAAACCACTGGGAAGAAATTGTGCAGTTAGATGCTTGGAATCACATCTCAGCTTGACTGCTTTTTGGCTGTGTGATCTCAGGCAAATTTCCCAAACTTCGGAGCTTTGTTTATTTATATATATATGAAATGGGTTTCAGAACAGGACTGGTTAGGGAAGACGTGGAAAGTTCTCAACAGTGTCTAGCCCATGGTAGACGGTCAGTCCTGTTAGTCTTTCCATTGTCCCTTCGCTTTATTACCTTGACACATAAGGTCTCTTTAAAAAAGTGATGAGGGGAGTGTATGTCATTTGTCTGTGTCTCACACACACACACACACACACACACACACACACACACACACACACAATAGGAGATGGGAGACAGATTTCATTGCACCGTGACAGTCAGAGGAGCGCTAACAGTGAATTGGGTGTTTAAGATTGGGGGTTTAAGTTTAAAGGGCATTGTGTAGTATTTTTCCTTTTCTTAAATAGAAACAGAGGTTAAACAGGGTCATAGGGGACTTAACACAATAAGCTAGGAAGTTCATTGTTTCAGAAAACCATTGTGTAATCAAGACATTTAATTAGAGGTGTCACTTGAGTCCTTGAACTAGACAAATGCCAAAGGACATGTAACTGCTTACATCTGAGTATTTGCTTATATACATTTTGCACTGCTTTCCTTTCCTTCCTGTCCTATCGCCTGCAAACCCACTCCTCCCCCTAACAAAAGAGGAACAAAAGGAACATACCCACAACCTGTAAGGTTTTCCAGATCTTTCTTTCTGTGAGTGTACATAAATCTCTATACTTGAATGCAGTTATCCTTATTGATTTATTTACTTTTTTACAAAACATGGTCTCTTGCTTTCCTGTTTATAATGTTTTCTTCATTGGAAGTTTAAAACTTTTTAAAATGTGTGCAGGATGTCATTAGTCTAAAGTCCCTGGACATTGTGTTTTGGTCATCAAGTGAAGAGTTATTGAGCACCTGCTTTGCTAGGCCAGGAGCCAAATCTGGGACTGTTGAGATGATAAAAACACCCCTCAGAAATTTTAGGAGAGGCAGACGTGTACATGATAAGTGGTATGATATATTTTTAAGTATCATTTTTGGAAAACATTTTAGAAGTCTTTATACAAAGACACTTTAAACTGTGCTTTTCTAAGGGAAAGATTTTCCAAAGAGATTTTTTTTTTTTTTTTGGAATTTTAAGATGGAATTGAACTTTATGCCCACTTGTATGAAGACAATATTCCTTAGTCGAATGGCTATTCTGACGTGCATTTTATTATTAGGCCAGTTTTAATTTTATGTTGTTAATTTTAGTCCCTTCCAGATATGCAGCATATTCAGGAAGAAAACTTATCCTCCCCACCATTGGGTCCTCCCAACTATCTACAAGTGTCCAAAGATTCTGCCAGTACTAGTAGCAAGAACTCTTCTTGTGACACGGATGACTTTGTTTTCGTTCCACACAACAGCTCGTCAGACCACTCATGTGAGAATCTTTTCTACTTGTACACATTATATTTCTTAATTTACTAGCCTAGCATTTATTTTTAACTTTTATGTCATGCTCTCTCGTGTAGGCCACCTTTTCAAAGGGGGCGCTTTATTTAGTTGTTTGAATTCCCAGAACTACCTACCTACGTTTTAGCTCTGCTCAGTCACCTTCTATAAAGCAGTAACTTTGGATTCTGAAGGTAGATGAAAAGTTTGCAGGAAACGATCTCCAATTCTGTTTGTATCCACACAGAAATAGAAAAGTCAGCAGAATGAGAGAAATTAAATTTAAGGAAAGGCATGAAGGGAAGACCTCTTTTGCAAAAACAACCTAAGAGTCAAGGGAGTTTAAAACCAGTCTGGAGGCCCTTCAGAAGAGACTGGCATGAGCTCAGGAATGAGTTTCATAAATATATGGGAAGAATTTTTATAAAGGAAGCAGAATCCAACTTGACTAAATATGGCCAGGGCTCTAAGGAATGGCGAAGGGCACCAGAAAACCTACAAAAAAAGAAGTTAGACAAAACCATGGAGGAAGAAGGAACTGCGGTTTGGTTGCGAAGGAACAGGATCAGAAAAACCAGAAATTGGGTTCCTTCAATAATTGAATAGTATCAAGTTGACCATGTGCAGGTGCAGATGGTTGGATAAGTTCGTATCAAGAGGTCTGTGGAGTGGTTTGTCAGATTCTACAGCTGCTACTGTTAGGCATCATGCTCGTTGTTGTGAGGGCCGTCATCCCCAGAGCAAGCGAGCCTCGGGGTGTATCAGCTGGGGCAGGGGGAGCACGGACAGAGCTGCAGGGGCACGTGGGGTGGTTCACCACCGGTGCTCCGACAACTGGGAGTTACCTTTAAAAATCCAGAATACAGTGGTTTTCTTCTATTTTAAAAAAGGAATTAAAATGAAAAATTATGCAGTATTTCAAGCAGGAAATAATACAGCAGATACTCAAGTCCACCACCGTTCTAATTTTATTTATGTCAAAGTTTGGCCATGTTGTTTCAGATGTCTTTTAAAGATGTAAAATGCTACACAGGTACAGCTAAAGTCCTTTTCCTCGTTCTACTCTTGCCAGAGGTAAATTCTTACTGTAGATTTTTTTAATACTTTCACAGATGCCTGTATCTATAAATAACATAACAGTATTCTTGTGTTTTTACAGTTTTAAGTAAATGGTATAAGGAACATTTTTATAGCTTGGTTTTTTATTCATTTTTTTGCTATGTATCTAGCTACAGATCTAGATATATATATGTAGTTTATTTCAATATCTGAATTTTGTAGTACATTAAACCACAAGTTTATCCATTTCTCTGCTGTGGGTTACCTGGATAATTTCTATCTTTTCACTATTCAAAATGTATTGTAACAGATGTCCTGTGTCAGAGTTCCTTCCACATGGATACTCTAGAAATGTTCGACTTCAAATCTTATGGGGGCGCCTGGGTGGCTCAGTCGTTAAGCGTCTGCCTTCAGCTCAGGTCATGATCCCAGGGTCCTGGGATCGAGCCCCACATCGGGCTCCCTGCTCGGCGGGAAGCCTGCTTCTCCCTCTCCCACTCCCCCACTTGTGTTCCTGCTCTCGCTAACTCTCTCTCTCTGTCAAATAAATAAATAAAAAATCTTAAAAAAAAAAATCTTATGAAATATTGGTACAGACAAGTTGTAGGCAACTAATAGTCTCTGCCGTGCTGCCCCAATGGAATAATGGTAACTTCTAAATACTTTTTTTTTTCATCTTTAACTTTACCTGGAGTTCACTTTTGTAGATGGAATAATGTAGGGATCTTATTATTGAATATTCTGTCCTTTCTCTACCGATAGGCCGTTCCAGATTTGTCATATCACGTTTACATAAAGAATTGGGTTTGTTTTAAGGTTTTCTATTTACTCCATTGGTCTATTTGTATTATAATCATTTTTAAACACATTGGGGTGTGTGTGTGTGTGTGTGTGTGTGTGTGTGTGTGTGTGTGTGTGAAGGAGAGAGAGAGAGAGAGAGAGATTGTGGGGAGGGGTGATGGTAGAGAGCATTCTAGTATTCTTTGGAATCACCCTGGCTACTCTTGACCCCTTTTGCCCATGTGTAGTCTAATTGCAGCTTGACAAATCTTACAAAAAACCATTTGGGGATTTTGATGGGAATTGTGTTGATTTTAAAGACCTATACAGGGACAGTTAATGATCTTTACAATATTAAATTGTCAAATCAAGAATATGTGTTTCTCACAAAACAGGATCATAGGGGAAGGGAAGGAAAAATGAAATAAGATAAAAACAGAGAGGGAGGCAAACCCTAAGAGACTCTTAACTCTAGGGAACAAACTGAGGGTTGCTGGAGGGGAATTGGGTGGGGGGATAGGGTAACTGGGTGTTGGACATTAAGGAGGGCACTTGATAGAATGAGCACTGAGTGTTGTATGCAACTGATAAACCACTAAATTCTACTCCTGAAACTAGTAATACTATACCTTAACTAACTTGAATTTAAATAAAATCTTAAAAAAAAAAGTATGTGCTTCTCCACTTACTTAGGTTTCCTTAATGTGTTTTGATAGATATTTACATTTTCCTACATAAAGGACATTCACATCTTTTGTCTTATTCTAGTTACCTTTATTTTTTGTCCTTGTGTAAATATTGTATTTGAAATTTTTTTTTCAAAAATGCTCCTGTCGACGTCTTTGTGCTTCCAAATCTCACGTCTTTTCTCAGTCTTCATCTTTTTGATGTGTTTACAGCATTTGTTAGAGTTGGCCACACCCTTCTTATTTTTATTTTTTTTAAGATTTGTTTATTTGTCAGAAAGTGAGAGCACAAGCAGGGGGAGAGGGAGGCAGAGGGAGAAGCAGGCTCCTTGCCGAGCAAGGAGCCCGATGTGGGACTCGATCCCAGGACCCTGGGATCATGACCTGAGCCGAAGGCAGGTGTCCCCACACCCTTCTCTTTAGTTTAAAAATTTGTTATTGTAAAATATATCATGCATATGTTTTTCAAAGATTTTTATTTATTTAGAAAGAGTAAGAGCAAGCGGGGGGAGGGGCAGAGGGAGAGGGAGAGAGGGAATCCCAAGCAGACTCTGCCCTGAGCCCAATGCGGGGCTCAATCTCACAACCCTGAGATGATGATCTGAGCTGAAATCAAGAGTTGGCCACTCAACCGACTGAGCCACCCAGGTACCCCAAAGATTTTATTTTTTTTAGAGCAGTTTTAGGTTTACAACAAAACTGAGAGGAGGGTACAAGTTTCCCACATACCCCCTGCCCCTCCCCATTCTCAGCATCACTCAACCAGATGTTAAAAGGATAATACCAGAGGATAAACCTACATTGACACATCACAATCACCCAAGGTCCATAGTCTACTTAGAATTCATTCTTCTTGTTGTTGTACATTCTGTGGGTTTGGAGAAAGGTATAATGACATTTATCCATCATTATAATATATAGAGCATTTTCACTGCCCTAAAAATCCTCTGAGCTCCCCACCCGTCCCTTGGAAACCACTGATCTTTTTATTATCTCTACAGTTCTGTACCACAGTTTGTCCATTTACCTGTTGAAGGACACTTTGCTTCCAAGTTTTGACAATTAAGAATAAAGCTACTATAAACATCTGTGTGCAGGTTTTTGTGTGGACATAAGTGTGCAGCTCCTTTGGATAAATACCAAGGACCATGACTGCTGGCTGGTTTGGTAAGGGCATGTTTAGTTTTGTAAGAAAACACCAAACTCTTCCCAAGTGGCTATACCATTTTGCATTCCCACCAACAGTGAATGGGAGTTCCTGTTGCTCCATATGTTCACCAGCATTTGGTGATGTCAGTGCTCCAGGGAGAGCTGTTCTAGTAGATGTGCAGTGGTGTCTCATTGTTGTTTTAATTTGCGTTTCTCTGATGACATCTGATGTTCAACATCTTTTCATAGGCTTATTCACCATCCATATAGCTTCTTTGGTGAGGTGTCTGTTAAGATCTTTGGCCTATTTTTCAGCTGTGTTGTTTGTTACCTTGTTGAGCTTTAAGAGTTCTCTGTATACTTGGGATAACAGTCCTTTATCAGATGTATCTTTTGCAAATGTTCTTTTGCAGATATCTTTGTTCAGTCTGTAGCTTATATTCCATTCTCTTGATACTGTCTTTCACAGAGCAGTTTTTAATTTTAATAATCACTAAAGATTAATGAAATCATTTAAATAAATTTATTTCTTTCATGGATTGTGTTTAGTGTTGGTATCATGACACCCAAGGTCCTCTAGGCTATGTTATCTTCTACAGTATTTGCAGTTTTTTTCTTTTACATTTAAGTCTGTGGCCCATTTTGAGTTAATTTTTTCGAAAGGTCTACAGCTAGATGAATTTTTTTGGGGGTCTGTGGATGTCTAATTATTATAGGCTTATTTGTTGAAGACTGTCTTTGCTCCATTGTATTGTCTTTGCTCCTCTGTCAAAGATCAGTTGACTATATTTTGGGGGTTTTCTTTCTGGTCTTCCTGTTCTGTTCCATTGATCTATTTGTTCTTTTGCCAATACAACACTGTCTTGATTACTGTAGTTTTATAGTAAGTCTTGAAGTTGGGTAGTGTCAGTCCTCTGCCCTTCTGTTTCAGTGTTCTGTTGGCTATTGTGGGTCCCTTGCCTCTCCGTTTAACCATTAGAATTAGTTTGTCAATATCCATAAAATAAATTGCTGGGATTTTCACTGGGATTGTAGTGAATCTATAGATCAAGTTGGGAAGAACTGACATGTTTACAATATTTAGTCTTCCTATCCAAAACATAGAATATCTCTCCATTTATGTAGTTCTTCTTTGATTTCATTCATCAGAGTTTTGTAGTTTTCCTCATACAGACCTTGTATGACTTTTGTTAGATTTATACCTAATATTTCATTTTGGGGGGTGCTGATATAAATGGTGTTGTGTTTTTTATTTCAAATTTTAGTTGTTTATTATTGAGATACAGGAAAGCAGTTTACTTTTTAAATATTTACT